CTTTCTAGTCACTTGGGGAAGTTAAGAACATAAAATACACACATGTATCCACACACAAATACAATTGAGCACCAGGTAAAGACATCCCTGTGTGGGGTGTGATTGGCAGTGACGTCAGAGTGCTGCAAGCTCTGGAGTTCTTGCCCTCACTTTCTGGGCTTATTTCTCTGCTGGTCAAGAACACATAGGTCACAGACTACCATGGCCCAGGGACCTCAGAGGGGACCCTCCTGGGAGATGGAGTCCCACAGCTGGCCTCTCCACAGCACATCCAGGAGCCTTCTGTCATCTGTTGCACAGGAAGGCCTATGGATCATGTGTCAGCCACATCAACTGTTCTTGCAGCACACGTGCAGGCAGGCAGGCAGGCACGCACGCACGCACACACACACACACAGTGTCTAGCCTTCTTAAAGCCACAACCCAAAAGACAGAGAAAGCCTGTGGACTCACTCATGAGATTTCATACCCAGGACTGTGGATAGAGACTGGTGCGTTGACACAACCCGGTAAAGTAATCACTATGTTTTCTTCTTTAGTTTAAAAATGATGATAGCTAGGTGCTGATGGCTCACTCCTATAATCGTAGCTACTCAGGAGGCTGAGATCTGGAGGACTGCAGTTTGAGGCCAGCCCAGGCAGAAAGGTTTACCAGAATCTATCTCCAAAATAACTAATAAGAAGCAGGACTAGAGGTGTGGCTCAAGGCTAGAGTGGCAGCCAACCCAAGGTCCTAGTTCAGATACCAGTACTGCTTACTCCCCCCGCAAAAAAAAGATCAACCCCTCTTGTCATGCACTTATGATCCTTAAACCACTGAGAATGGGAACATGGTCCCTCAGAGATGGACCACTGTGTTTCTTTCTCATCATGCTATGTTTGAGGCCAAGATCAGTTACAAGCCAGAGGTAAAAGGATAGAAGGCCACAGGCCCTTTGCTCGTCCTCCACTCCAGGTCACTGAGGCTTGAGAGCTCAAGTCAGGAGGCTGTGTGAGACGTGCCTGGAAGAGACCAGAGACATTTGTCTCATTGGCCATGAACACAGCCTCGTGCTGGCAGTAAACCTCTTCTGAACCAAAATGCTTGGTGACAAGCTGTCAATCTTAAGAGAAAAAAATAATCAAAAGCAAAGTCACTTGGGAAAGTCTGAAACAAATCAAGATAAAAGGTAAGAAAGTATAATAGATGCTATTTATACATTGTAAGTCTCTCAAAGGTGCTTGGATTATTTATTTAGATAGATAGATGTGTGTGTGCATATATATAAACATACACATGTCTGCTCTGAGAATGTGTTTGGGAGTGTCTCCAGATGGCTGTGGTATCTGTGTCAACAGTTCCCATGTCTTCACATATTTTAAAGTAAGGTCGTGTCATTTGTTCACTGCATCTTGATACTGACATGTGGGCTGTGTGTGCGCGCACGTGCCTGTGTGTTTCAGGACAAGGGCTCGAGCCTGGAACCTCCCCCACACTTCAGTGCCCTGGACGTGGGCACCCCGGGCCTCAACGCCAGTCCTTCTCCGTCAGCGTCCTCCAGGAGCTCCCACAAGTCCTCACACACAGCCATATCAGAGCCCACCTGTGAGTGCTAGTTGGTGGGAGGGTGGCAGAGGGACCTCTAAGACCTAAG